AAAAAAACCCAGCACAGGGGGGTCGCGGCACAGTGGTGACGTGGCATAGTTGGATCAAGTATAATGATATCTGACAGTGATTAAAATCACTATAAAAAAAAAACGCTTCGATGCAAATCTTTAGATAGTGTTTAATTTTAAAAAATTGGTGTATTATTCCAAAAGCTTATTACGTAATCCAGAAGGGGGCGCACANAACAAATGTTTTGTCACGTAATCCAGAAGGGGGCGCACAATTAACTCAAAAGTATATATTTATATAAGTATAAATACAGTTATCACAAGATGATGCGTAATCCAAATAGGGCGCACGATTAATTACAACGATATATATATATATCTAAACGCCGTAGTCGTGTTCGCTAGAACTATGTACGTCAAAGCAAAACGAAACGAAAAAGAACCACAGAAAGATATACCACTTCAGGTGTACGCCGAAAAACGAAACAGACAGCACAAAAATTAACCCACCAGTCGAGGTGTACGTCGAAAACGGAACAGGCAGCAATATCGGTAATCCATATTCGGCGGCGGCCTTATCTCAGTGTCAAGGGCGGGGAGACGACCGATGACAACCGATTGTCATATTAATAGCTGGACGGCTGATATCGAGAGAGACACTGGTGAGCGCCAGCCTAGAGCAAAAGGCGGTGCCGTGTCNTTTAAAAAATTGGTGTATTATTCCAAAAGCTACATGATCTGCTAGTTCCTTATTAATATCCTGATTAAGATAAAGTATGTTGAATGAAAAAGAGATTATTAAAAAATATTATTTCTCATAAAAAATTGTATTGATCCATCAAAAAGTTATAGCATAATAAAGTTAAATCGCATCGAAGCTAAAATGTAAAATATAAAATCGAGAAATTTCACACAAAAAAAGCATTCGTTAGCCATTTTCACCACGAAGACAAGTCCAGAGGTCAATTTTTTTTTTCAAATTAAAGTATATTACATTAGCTTTAATTTAAGATATATATAAAAGTGTCAGACCTTCCGAAACATTTTCAAAAGTTAAGTTGAAAAAGTTGTCTTTTTAAATCCCCCCCTGTGGGCAGATAAAGGGTCAAATTTAAAAAAAATATATATCAAATGATAGGTAATGACATCAAGCATCTATAAAAAAAAAAAATATATTGATATGTTCTTTTTTGAAAAAGTTATAGCATTATTAAGTTAAAAATGTTATTACGACCATACTAATTTGAATTATATATAATAATATTAATAATAATAAATAAATATATCGCTTTAAATGTTTAATTTTAAGCAATTATCAAGAAAAGTCGTAATACATTACACACCTTTTAATATAAGAAATTCTTATATTACATTGAATTAAAATTTTTTATCAACTCAAAAATAAACAATTTTTAAATTTCTATATTATATTATTATATACATAAATGTGAAATTAAACTTTAAAGTAAAGTTTAATTATTTGTTGATCATTTAATTATGTGCGTTTATCGATATATATNAGGAAAAGATATTTTGATTGATATTTTTTTTTTATTTAAAGCATATATATATATATGTACACTTTCAAATATTTCATTAATAATTTGCCCCAACTTACCTAAAATTGAAATGATTTTGAAACACAATTATACTCTTGATGAATAATAAAATATTTTAATTCTTTGCATAAAAAATAGATTAAGCAATTTATAGTTTAATTTTAAAATTAATTTTATTATTACTGTCTAGTGATTAGTAGTGTTTCCGTAAAATATTCATTAATTTATTATAGTTTACCTTATGTATAAATACATTTGTTATGAATGTATATATACAGTGAGTTAATTAAATAATCGAATGTGGTCTAAAAGAAATAAATTTCCACTTAAATTGCCATCGTCTTACAAACCTTCAAGTGTGATCAACACTATTAGAAAAATATTTTTAAAATATAAAACCAGTCTGATTAGACTAACTGTACATTCTCGTGAGCGTATTTTAATACGTATTAATCACATTGTCTCCAATATTATATCCCACTATTAAATCAGCAGTACTGATGATAAAGTAAATGTATTATTAATGATTATAAAAATTAAGCCTGGGACAGATAAGTTTCATGAAACCATTCAAATTGTTGAATTCAATGAAAAGCACACAGTAACGCATACTTTAAATTTAAAAATTTGTATTTTAAAATTAATTAAAATTGTGAAAAACTGTTTTTACAATATATAATTAAATAAAAGAATGTGTTTTGAGTAAAACCTATATTTATGTTATTATAATAATTTTTGACAGTCGAAAAATTTATAATAATGTAAAAAATTAAATATAGACTTATATCGAAAAAAAACTCGTATCTATTTAAAAAAGAGGGATTGAAAAATGCATATGAGTTTTTAATTCAGGGACCTCAATGACATACATTTTAATATATAACACTATAAAATAACTAAAATTGAAAAAAGACACTCCCGCTAAAAAAGACGAAAGTGAAAAGTTATTATAAAATTAGAATACAGCGATCTCAAAAACAAATATTACGATCATTTTTTTTGATAAACTTATTAATACAACTTTGATAGTT